GATTATAAGATTCAAGTGGGACTGGTGAAAACTACAGAAAGCTTTATCATGTAGTATGTCTCATATTCAACCGAAAATCAAAACGTGTACATCTTAAATTGTAAGCTACCTCATTCGGTGTTAGAAAGGGGCACACATCCGAACAGATTAATGTAGACTGACTTTGATAATGACGTGAAGATACCATTGCAGTATCATTTCGATGGGCACTTTCTGTATCCGTGACTTTATCACGTGACTTGAACCTCGTATTTCGGTAAGTGCAGTCATTAGCCAGAAGTAGTTAGTATAAACACATAGACAAACGGATCAGTTTCAAATAGTCCCCTCTACGTGACAGTGTATGCCAAAAAATTAATGAATTCCAGTATCGTCCAAGCACTCAGTAGCATACCTCGAAGTGACCCCGCATAACGAATAAATTACTCATCTTTCTTTTGTTAACATACAAAATGCAAATAAGAAAATTTTGAAACGAATCATCCGTAACATAGAATAAATTAACTATTTTAATTATCACCGTATTTTGACCGAACAAGCTAGTTCTAGCAGTAACGTTTTGACTGGCCGCGTCATAGTTCAAGCGGTTAGTCGCTGGCATCCCACCGCGGCTGCCCGGGTTCAAACCCTGTTCTGGTCAAGTGGGATTTGTGGTGGACAAAGTGGCGCTGTGGTATGTTTTCTCCGAGTACTTCGGTTTCCCTTGCCAATCTTCATTCCACAAAGTTCTCCATCATCATACCCGGGGCAGGTACAATAGGCCAATCAGTGGCCGCCGTGTCGAGTGGACTCAACTGGATTCCACCCTCTACAATGCGAATTTAAAAAAAAAATACATGCTGGTGCATATTTGAAAATTTTGTTAATCTTTAAACCAATAAAGTGATTCTATGAGGATATAAACGTCCCTAACACCAGTATGAAGTTCCATACCAGTTGAAGTCCCACCTTTCGAAAGATCTTCCTCTAAGAAAGCGTATAAAATCAGTTAATGGCTAAGTGATCATGCCTGTACGTGTATTTCTGTCCATCCCATTAAATGTTTAATGTCCCACAAAATTCTTTATAGCTTTCAGTATATAATGCATGGGTATACACTGAAGATTACTGGAAGAATTTGATTTTGATCCAATATACACACTAATTAAAACGAAGCTCGTTTCGAGAATGTCAAAAATTCTCAAACCAGATCCACACGGTTACTCTCGGCAATAATAGATCCCGAACAGAACTCCTTTAACAACGACCAATATGATGATAATTATCATCATATTGGTCGTTGCAGATTATAATCTGCATACAAGCATACAACCAGACCGCTCGTGGAAACCACATACTGCCCTTGTATAAACACAGTAAAATTCTGTAAAATTCTACCTTCTGGAATATAACGCCGTGTAGTCCGTTGAAAATCAACCGATGTTTTAGAGGAATATTCCGTCTCCATCTTCAGGGTCGACCATGAATTTTATAATTAAAATACTTCTAACAACCCATTATATGAGTATAAATTATCGTAATATTCATAGTTTAATAAAAGACTTCAATAATGAACATCACAACTCATTGTAAAAAAATTATACAATACATCAAATGTAAATATTTGTCATTGCAGAGAAGTATGAATCGTGCTAAAGTAAAACTAAATTATCTGATGATGGCCAGAAGGCCGAAACGTGTACTAAATATTTAGAGTAGTTTACTTATATAAAAAGTTAAGTTGACGGAAGCCAATACGCATACAATTATGATTCTCAAAAACTCCTTTATAATATAAAATTACGCAAAGATAAAAATAAGCTAAATTTGTCCCTATACTTAACTAACTAAGCACTACGCCATGAAGGCGTGTCGGGGCGTGGATGTGAATTTCATGAACAACTGCGAAATCATTGTCTGTTCACTGAAGAAACCAAATAATGAATCTGGTAGGATAACATTCTCAGAGAATATTCGTGTTTTGTCACAAAGTTAATAGAAAGTCCGTCGAGTGTAACAATTTGTAGGTCACTTCTTTATCACTTCTGCCTTACATGTTTCGGTTTGACACAACCATCATCAGATGCACTTGCTATAATTATGAAAACACTGTCGCTGTTTTTGATGTTCACAATTATGTTTGTCGTGTGGACGCTGCTACGATATGTTGACGTGTAAAAGCACAAAACATGCTAAGATAGTTGAGTACACTCTCAAGTTCTCACTTTTCATCCAAAACTATTTTTAAGTTAAAACGCTAAAATGTTAAAATATTTGATATAAAATGCTGAACTCCTCCTTGTTAATTCATCCCGAAGATGGGAGACGTCAGCTTGAGGTTGTATGGCTTATGGTTTGATATGTTCCTGTGTGCTGTGTGCTGTGTGCTGTGTGCTGTGTGCTGCCTCTGATGATGGTTGTGTCAAACCGAAACATGTAAGGCAGAAACAATAATAAAAAGTGACCTACAAATTGTTACACTCGACGGACTCTCTATTAACTTTGTGATTGATAGTGTAACGGACCAAAATGAAATAATTCAAAATTCGTGTTTTGTATTTGGGGAAATACGAAAAGTTTCTAGCCTGTGGCATACTACTGACTATAATTAAACAATAATACTAATAAATCTCAAGGAGTAAGCTCCTTCTACTTGAGAACTGGTGCCATCAACAGGCCAAGAAGATCTCCGCCTTTTACACTGCACGAACACCACGTGACCATATCCTGATTCCAGTTAGTCTACACCACACATTTGCATCTTACATCATTTCATCTGCTAGAAGTTTGCGTCGACTCGCATGGAAATAAAATCTGTAGAAGTAGAAATTTTTCGTCTCGAAGTCAAGGAACGTTATAGATTTTTTCTTTATTGCTAGTGGGGTGGGACTAAGTCCTTTGTACTGCGGCCACTGCTGGCCTATTGTACCAGCCCCAGATGATAGGTGAGGGTGATTGTGGAGCAATTGGTGGAATGAAGATTGGCAGGGGAAACCGAAGTACTCGGAGAAAACCTGCCCCAGCGCTACTTTGTCCACCACAAATCTCACTTGACCACACCCGGGATCGAACCCGAGCCGCCGCGGTGGGAAGCCAGCGACTAACCGCTTGAGCTATGGCGGGGCCAGCGTTATAGATTAACTCTGAATGCCTAAACCCAAACGTTGATGATATATTATAATTCCATTATTGCCGCTCATTGCGAGACTTAATAACAATTTATCAATCTTCGAATCTAAGAACAGCGCTAGTCATCACGAGAGGAATATACATGTTTCATAAAAGTATGAAAAACTACATGTACATATGAAGCCTGACATTACTGACACATTCTGTCAGCCATAAGAAGCGGCCTCCGTAGTCTAGGGGTAACGTTCCCACCTCATGACTTAAGGTACGCGGGTTCAAACCCGGCGGAGGTCGTGGAATTTTTAAGGGCGGAAAATTTCAGGGAACAAGTCCTCCGGGAGGGACTTTAAGCCGTGGGTCCCGCGTCGTAGATTTACGGAACGTAAAAGAACCTCATGTCTCTAGGAGACCTCTGAGCTAAATTAGGCAAAACGTTACCCGCCCAAGTAGTTTCCAATGCCTCCGGTAGATGGGGAAGTATTAGGTACCGCTGCAACAGGAGGGCAAACCCAGCTGACAGAAAGGGACTAACTATCAGATACCACTTCCAGTAGAGGGTCGAAACCTCGCTGGCAGAAAGGGGCTGATAGCGAGCACCAGTACCGGTAGGGTATGGAGAAATTAAAAAGGGGACGTACAATAGACTATTAGTCGCGGTGCATGGGGAAACCCACCCCCTCAATACTGGATAACTGGATTCTAATACAGAACAGATTAGCTGTGTTAGGCTATACACGCTTCATTTCCTTACTCCCTACTTCAGGGAAACTGACTCATATATTTTAAGGATGTTATTCAAAGTGCATTTGTATGGTGAAATGTCTAAAGTTTCGGACATTTCTTATGAAGATAAGTTCGAGTTCGTTACTCTAAGAATGTTATTGCAAAGTAAACACGATCTGAAACTCCAACGCTATTCTTTTCCTGAAACAAATTTAAATATAACTAATTAACTAAATTACAAATTGGAAAGTGTGTTAAGTTCTTGGTTTCCTCTCAGATTGAAATGTTACTGTTACGTCGAGAACTAAATTAACTTGTAAGATTTGAGGCTTTCACGGCGGTGACTATGAAAAAAGCAGTCTTCTGGGATTTGGCACCGTGTATATGTGGTGTTAACCGACGTTTCGGAGGAACGTATCGCCTCCATCTTCAGGGTAGAAGAAAAAATATAAGACTGTGCAGACAGTCTGCTTTTACCGGTTCTCACGGTCTCTTCGCTTGCAGATTTCTTATATTTTTTCTTCTACCCTGAAGATGGAGGCGATACGTTCCTCCGAAACGTCGGTTAATACCACATATACACGGTGCCAAATCCCAGAAGACTGCTTTCTAAATTAACTTGACTGCAAAGATGCCAAAATTTGAATCGAAGAATTATCATAAATTTCATACTGGAATAAATATATTCTATAAACTTGCGAAACATACAGCATATATTTGGCTCCAGTAATATAAATAATTACTATTACAAAATAGTTTCATTTGTCAATCTTTAAAAGGTCTCGAAAAATGTTGATCCTAACTTCTGAAAGATATTCTGTGATTCTTCTGATGAACAAAACAAAGCAATCTGCTATGTTTCTCCAGTAATACGTAACAAACTGACTTTCACTAAACATGGTACAGAGCAATGTTTGTGTTGGACAAGTGGCCAACTAATTTTATTATTTCAAACCGGTGGCCTGGCAAAATTCCTCCTTTCGTCCTCTCCCCACTAGGCTTGTTGCCACGAACACCCTTACCGAACTCGATAGTCATACAGTCACTAATATTAAGTAATCAACGATTCCAGAAGAATGCTATAAGCATTCAGCTGAAATATTCTGTAAACATCAGTAAACAGAGACAGTTCTCTTAGCTTTGTATGTAAGTTTGATCAAGCAACTCACATTGTGTGACATCTGCAACAGGGTCTTCGACAGCCGAGCCCCTCGACGCTCGCTGCTGGAAATGCGAAGGGAAGCAGTTGACGGCGTGTCCACAGACACGGCCCATGCTCTCTGATGTGGGCAGACACACTACTGTCCCCATGGCAACGAACACTGCAGCGTGCGAGGTCGCGTACACGCTTTGCTGGTGTTCGTAGCCTAGCAGAGACAAAAGTAGTCCAGTGGAAGCAGTTCCATCGGCTGGAGGACTGTGGGTGCTGTGCAAATAGAAAAGCATACAGTGCATTATAAATTGGGATGCTCGTCTGAAAAGACTGCTTTATAATACTGCATTTGAATCATTCTCGTAACTTTACACTTTTGTGCAGGGTGTTACTTACGAAAGAGTCAGCTCTCAAACAATACCAACTACTGTCTCTAGTCAAGAAATCTGTACTGTGAAGTGACTGGCTTCATAAGATTGGGTGCCTACTAATTTGGCTCAAGCTGTAAAGCTCCTGGCTTGTGTTCGGAAGATAGTGGGTTCGAATCTCGGCCGGGATATCGACTATTCTCACTATATTTTTATTGTTTTCATGAATCCCTACATGCAAACACCGAGATGTCTCAATTATGCCACGATTGTTCTTTCCACATCTTTACAATTCTTTATACTTTGACATTCTATCACTGAACACTGCGATGCCAACAACAAAAAACTCCGTGACTTGAGTCCGCAAGCGAACTATACCGACCGAGCGACCGCCGCTTGTCGGCGAAGTTAGTACCAACTTTAGCGGACAGAGGGTTTCGGGTCGGCGCAACGAATCCTCACGGGCGTTAATCTCGGCTTTTTAGACCGGAGCCGCTATTTCCTCGAAATAGCTCCTCAATTATCCTCACGAGGCTGAGTGGACCCCGTTACAGACCCACTACTTTTAAGAAAATCTGGTAGCGCCGGGAATCAAACCCGGACCTCTGGATCTGTAGGCAGGAACTGTGACTACTAGACCACAGAGGGGGGTGACTGCGATGCTAATAGGGTCGTTAAATAAGCATAAAAAAAAAACCTCCGTGATTTCAGTCATAAGCATACGGAGAGCAAACATTGCTAGAATATAAAACGAACTTACTGAAACTATAAACAAGAAGCTGAATCCTAACTACTGTTTTATACAAAACCACTGTACCATGAAGTCACGTGATCTAACCTGACCACCCCATCTGCTTTGCCAACTATTGTACAAGCGCATCAGCTTGTTTATTTAATTTCCAGACCTCGTATGCTATAACTTGGACTCCGGTCCGCCCTCAGCTTTGCAAGTGTGGCTCGAAGAGCAGAGATAAACATGCATGTCACAACTTCAAAAATTTGAATACAACTATCCTATTTTCCGGACATAATCCATTGTCCTGTTATTATTTAAAACACAGTCCTATCTTTATTTAAAAATTTATTTATCCATGTTCTGTTCTTATTTAAATATTTTTAAGGCAGCGCCATAGCTCAAGCGGTTAGTCACTGGCTTCCCACCGCTGCGGCCCGGGTTTGATCCCGGGTATGGTAAAGTTCCCCCTCGTTGGTGTCTCCACCTTATCGTGGTGAGGGGGTACTGGTACTAGCTACTGGCAGGGCCTCCCTTGCTGGACAGGTCAAAGGGTAGGCATCAGACGAAGAGAGACACCAAAAACTGATGCCGGAAGCAGCGTCATCAGCAGCGACTTGAAGCACAGAGCAAATGATGCTCNCAGGCGTGACCAGAGTGGTTTGAACGGCTGTTGTACTGCGATGTGGAAAGCAAATGGAAAAACTACCACATTATCACTTTTCCTGGATAGTCTCTTTCCAAAAACAGAAGATCGCATTAAGTGGAGGAACTGTTTTGGAAGAGACTGTGGACCTGTCGTCTGACAGATTACTGATGAATGAATGAATGGTAAAGTTGGATTTGTGGTGGACAAAGTGGCGCTGGGGCGGGTTTTCTCCGAGTACTTCGGTTTCCCGTGCCAATCTTAATTTAACCAAATTCTCCATCATCATACTCACCCGGGGCAGGCTACAATACGCCAATCAGTGGCCGCCGTGCCGAGTAGACCTAGTTGGACTCAACCAGTCCAACTCCAACCCAGTTGGACTAAGTGAATTAAAAAAATTAAATATTTTTAAATAAAAACAGGACGACGGATAATGTCCAGAAACACAGTAGCTGTATTAATATACCATCGTCATAAACTTTTAGATCTTATTGAAATTGTAATCTGCTTATGAAACGAGATTTTTAAGTAAAGAGACTATATACAGAGGGGAATTGTAAAGAAATTACCTCTACAGACAACTCAATAATGAACAATCTGATATCGGATGGTTTACGGAAGAATTCAAGCGAAACGGAACCAGTAACAGACTTCAGTCTAGAACGGAAATGAATGTATCTAACAATATGACACAAATGGAGACCTACAATTAACATTGACATGTCAGGATTAATCAGGAAGAACAAGAAGAAATAAGAATAATTTTCATATTTATGACGTGATTTTATACATATTGAAGCTCGTGTATCCTTACCTTGTTTTCTTCATCTTGGGTGGAAGTATGACTATACTAAGAGACGATTTCCCGATGTAGCTCAGTACAAATGTTTTATATAAGGTTTGTTTATATTAATAACCAATTGACCCTATTACTATATTATAGCGAACAGGGATAGCGCAGTTGGCATAGCGAGTGGCTGTGGAATGGATGGCATAGGGATCGGAGTTCGAGTCCCGGTAGGGTCCAGCTTTTTCTCCTCTTCATGTGTCCAGACCAGCTCTGGGCTCCACCCAGCCTCCTATCCAATGGGTACCGGGGACTCTTCCCCCTGGGGCAAAGCCACCTCACTTCAAACTAATACCGAGCGACCGCTGCTTGTCGGCGAAATTAGTGCCAACTTTAGCGGATAGAGAGTGTCACGTGGTCAGCGCAACGAATCCCCACGGCCGTTAATCTCGGTTTTCTAGACCGGAGCCGCTATGAGGCTGAGTGCACCCCGTTCCAGACCCACTACTTCTCAGAAAATCTGATAGAGCCGGGAATCGAACCCGGACCTCTGGGTCTGTAGCCAGGAACTCTGACCACTAGACCACACAGGCGGCCCAGTTGGTCCGCAAGCACACTTAAATTAAATTAAAAAGTGTCCAAACAAATTAAAATTAAATAAGCAAGTAAAAATTATTGAAATAAAGTGGATACTGAAAACACCAAGCTTTCTAATTTCCATGAACATTTCAATGACCAGGAAAGAATCCGGGATTTCCAGGGTATGAAGGTGTGCCTTCACTGTCACTGACTTCAGAGGAGGGACCGCGCCGATAATTGGTAGCTGAAGAAAGACTGAAGCAGACTGCTTTTACCGGTTCTCACGGTCTCTTCGCTTGCGGATTTCTTATATGTTTTCTTCTACCCTGAAGATGGAGGCGATACGTTCCTCCGAAACGTCGGTTAACACCACATATACACGGTGCCAAATCCCAGAAAACTGCTTTCTTCATATCTTATCGTCCTTGATTTCATTACCATGTAATAATTTGTGAAAAGCAAGAACTTTGATGTTCTTTACTACGTAATTTTTTCCACCTCCTATTTCTTAGGTCCAAATATTCTCTCAGCATTTTCTACTCAAACAAACGTGTGTTCTTTCCTTAAGACAAAATACCAAGTTTCACATTAATATAGAATTAATGTTTTCTTAAATATTTGAGTTCTCAGTTTTCCAGGAGTGTTCGCTTGACTGTCGTAGCGTATGGACCGGCTGCTCATGCTAGTGAAATCGCTGCGATAAGAAGTGACTGTAAACAAACCCGTCCAAGTTCATAAGTGAATTGGATAACTTGGTAAGTAAACAAACCAAGTGTATAAAACCAAATTCAAAACTATAAAATGTTTCCAGTAGGTAACGGACAAACGTATTATAATAATGCAACGAGCCAACAAAACATGCAACAAGCACCTAATCAACAGTGGACATCAGTACCAAACAATCAGGCATTCCCAATCCAGCCAACAATGCAATATCACGGACAACCACAACCCGACAAGTCCTACTACATACCAAACAGCCATTACAATCAACCAAATGAGTGCATCCAACAACCTGTTCAAGTAACAAATTACCCACAGCAAATAAATCATATGTTATCGACCAGTGAAGAAGAAATAGAAGAAGACGGTGAAACCTCAACTCAACCACCAAATAAAATAAACTGGCAGGTACAGAGAAATAAAAGACGAAAAACAAACGCGACAAATCAACACAATACCATGGAGGTTGGTGAACTACCAACAAGAAATAGATATCAAGTACTCACCAATAACATTCAAGACGAATCTGGAGAAAACGCCGGCACCACAAGTGAAACAATCCCCAAACCTCACGCAAAACCTCCCCCGATATTTGTGTACGATGTAATAAACTATCCAAAGATGGTAGAACAACTAAAAGAAATTGCTGAGGTAGAGCACTATAGTACGAAATCTCTAGCAAACAATGTTGTAAAAATAAATTGCAACACGCCAGAAGTATACCGACGAATGATAACATATATGAAAGAACGCAACATAATGTACCACTCCTATCAAATAAAAGAAGACCGTGCATACAGAGTCGTCATAAAATATTTACACCCAACGGTCCAGACAGCAGACATTGCCACTGAATTATTGCAACACGGACACAAGGTAAGAAACATCATTAATGCACGTCATCACAGAACTAAGGAAAGTCTAAATATCTTCTTTGTTGATCTGGAGCCAAGTGATAATAATAAGGAAGTGTACAATATAGACCGACTTCAAAACAAACTTATTCGCATAGAACCACCCAGAAAATTCAATACTGTAATACAGTGCACTAGGTGCCAGTTATATGGACACTCGAAGACATATTGTAACAGACCATTCCTATGTGTCAAATGTGGAGGAGCTCATAACTCAACTACGTGCAAAAAAAGTAACAATACACCAGCAAAATGTGGATTATGTGGAGGATCGCATCCTGCAAATTATAAGGGATGCGACTATTATCGAAACATAAAGAGAAGCAATAAAGTGATCACAAATAAGCCAATAAATCAACAAAAGGTTCATACCCCAATGATAGACTGGAATGAATTTCCTCCTATGCCAATTATTCCCAGTGGACAATCAACCAACACTCACCTAAACAAAAGAAGCTACGCCGAAGTTACCAAAAACGACTCAAGATACAATAATACCCAGCCAGCTTCAATAGAAAAT